ATTATGAGACGCAGTTGAAATCATGGAGAAGTCGTCACAACGCTTTAGAAAATCGCACCAGGGAGCTTCAGGCCGAGGCTAACCAAGCTGGGATTACTGCTGCCCGATTGGCCGCCATGGAGGATGAAATGAGCAAATTGCAGCAGAGTTACGCTGAGGCACAAACGATCATCAAGCGCCTGCAAGAAGAAGAGAAGGTCTCGCGGGAGTCAATTCGGTCCGCTAATCTGGAGTTGGATCGGCTCAGACAACTGAACAGTGAAGCGGAGAATGACCGGGCTTCTCTTCGCCAACAAGTTGCGGAGCTTGAAGAGCAGCTAGAGCTCGCTAAACGAAACATTCCTTTGAACGGGCTTAACGGAGATGCGCAGAACAGCGGTTCTACGCAGCCACCTGCCGGCGGCTTGATAAACTTGGTTTCTTCAAAGAAGTCAAAGCCTAAGCGACGGAGTGCCGGGGCCGAGAAAATAGACACTGATCGCTTCAGCGGTGCGTACAATCCCCGGCCTGTGACTATGGCAATCCCGAGTTCGACGTTTGGTCGTCAGAACTTTTCTGGGCATACTTTTTCACCTGGACTTGACACTGTTGAGGTAGAGCTCGAGAATTTACTGTCTGAGGAAGATGAGCTCAATGAGGAAGTCACAATGGGATTGATTCGCAACTTGAAAATCCCACTGCCCAGCTCGACACCCCCGCCAACCGAGAAGGAAGTCCTATTTCCTGCATATTTGATCAATCTTGTCACGTCAGAGATGTGGAACAATGGTTTTGTGAAGGAGTCCGAGCGTTTCTTAGCCAACGTGATGCAGTCAATTCAGCAAGAAGTCATGCAGCATGATGGTGATGACGCCATTAATCCGGGTGCTTTCTGGCTCTCTAACGTGCACGAAATGCTTTCATTTGTCTTTCTGGCAGAGGACTGGTACGAGGCTCAAAAGACGGATAATTACGAATACGACCGCCTCCTGGAGATCGTGAAGCATGATTTAGAAAGCTTGGAGTTCAATATCTATCACACGTGGATGAAGGTGTTGAAGAAGAAACTGTATAAGATGATTGTCCCCGCGATCATCGAATCTCAGTCCCTTCCTGGGTTCGTCACCAGTGAGACCAATCGGTTCCTGGGGAAACTTCTTCCGTCAAACAACAATCCAGCGTACAGCATGGATAATCTCCTCAGCCTTCTGAACAATGTCTACAAGGCAATGAAAGCTTTCTACTTGGAAGATTCTATCATTATTCAAACCGTAACAGAGCTGCTTCGCCTTGTCGGTGTCACCGCTTTCAACGATCTCCTGATGCGGAGGAATTTTTTGTCTTGGAAGCGTGGCCTTCAAATCAATTACAACATAACTCGGATTGAGGAGTGGTGCAAGAGTCATGATATGCCTGAAGGAACATTGCAGCTAGAGCATTTGATGGTAAGCTGGTTTCCAAGAGACGGTAATGATTTTCACTGATATATCTTTTCGTTTCTCAGCAAGCAACGAAGCTCCTTCAGCTCAAGAAAGCTACTCTCAACGACATCGAGATAATCCAAGATATCTGTTGGATGTAAGGCGGACGTTCGCAGCACTTTTAAAATGAAGGCTAATTGGTCGATTCTCTAGGCTGTCTCCAAACCAGATCCAGAAGCTTCTGAATCAATATCTTGTCGCTGACTACGAACAGCCCATCAATGGCGAGATCATGAAAGCCGTAGCCTCCCGTGTCACAGAAAAGAGCGACGTACTCCTCCTTACCCCCGTTGACATGGAAGACAGTGGCCCGTATGAAATCGCCGAGCCCCGTGTCATCACAGCCTTAGAGACATACACACCATCATGTGAGTGATTCAAAGAAATGGCGCCCAGAATACTAATAATATCCAGGGCTCCAAACACCGCGTTTGAAACGTCTCGCAGAAATAGTATCGGCACAGGCAATGGCTCAGCAAGAGAGGCTCGAAATATCTGACACTGCCGAGATGCCAAGCGATTAAAGTCGTCTACCAGTGCCATTGTCAATATTCGTGGCCATTGTCACAAGCTCAACTCACAAACTTACAGCGCGGTCCTACCATAGATTTTGCAACCGCAACTATTAGAAAAACTTGGGAATGCTCTTGGCTTCGCTTCACTCTTCGACTTAACCTTATTTTCTGAATCTTGTATGTAAACTAGCATGTTTCGACGCATAAAGTTCGGACACTTGGTACAAATCCTGGGAACAACAACGGCCAAACAGCCTGGCATTACGGAAAAAAGATAAGAATGGACTCATGCGCCTCTGCGACAAGATACTCACGTGGACGATGAATTCCTTTCCTGTGAGAGTGTGATTCTGCTTCTACTTCGGTGTCTGTTGCTACGTGCTACTATTTGATCGGGGTTGTTCTTGGAGACAATAAGCTCTTATCAGCAAGACATCAAGAGCCATGTCTATTATTGCGTCTTTGAGACATACGGTTTAGATTGTTATACTTATTCGCTCATGTCGAGTCTGTATACGGCCCAGTTTCATGTTTGATAATGCCTGAGTGATATCGTCCTTTATGGAGGCAGTCATTGCCCAATAGTGAATCACCAATCCCATTAGTAACTGAGGTATTTACTGTAAGGTACAGGCGGTACCCTATTCATCCCTTCCTTCTCGCGAGCTAAGTGGCAACAAACCTTCACTCACCTTTGTCTCAATGGACTTTGCCCCTGCAGCACCAGAGCCATGATTACCACGGCGAAGCTAAACTTCATTACTGGTAACAAAAACAAATTGGCTGAAGTGAGAGCGATACTGGGAAATGTGGTTGAGATTGACAGCCAAGCAATCGAGGTACCCGAGATACAGGGATCCATTGAAGAAATCGCGAAAGAAAAGGCTAGGCGTGCAGCAGAACAGGTAGGGACTGGATTGCAGTAATGTGATTTCGTATGATGGTCTCTGAATTTTCATTTTGACGCTTTATGGAAGATAGGCGGCCCTGTCTTGACGGAGGATACAGCGCTTGGATTCCGCGCTCTGAAAGGACTTCCAGGCGCGTATATGTAAAGATGCCTTCGAGTCGCATTGTAACTTTGGAACTGCGGAACTGATCAGGCAATATAGCAAACATTTTTTGAGCGCACTGGGACACGACGGTCTCAACAAGATGCTTGACTCTTTCGAGGACCGAAGTGCAGAAGCCGTTTGCACATTTGCTTTTTGTCGTGGTCCTGGAGAAGAACCAATACTTTTCCAGGGAAGGACAGAGGTAAACGGGCACTCGCGTCTATATGGTGTTCTATAAATCTAATTCGGACATCAGGGTATTATTGTCAGGCCGAGAGGCCCATTGAACTTCGGTGAGTAGATTCAGTCATGATCTTTATTCTCTGCATTAATTATTCCAGGCTGGGATCCGATATTTGAACATAATGGGATGACATATGCTGAGATGGACAAGGAGGAAAAGGTACGACATCTAAATGTCTCACAATTGCTCGCTCAACCTTTGCGGAGGAAGACAGGAACGGAAATACCGTTTCCCCTTTCTCCCTGTCAGGCCTGATTATTTTTATTTGTCTTCGCGGACTGTTCAAGCATCTTGCGCTGATTTGTTGGGATAGAATCGAGTTTCTCACAGGTACAAGGCTCTCGTCAAGCTAAAGCAGTGGCTCGAAGAAGGGCACCTCTACCTTGATAGTGCAGGTACGAGGACCTGAAAGGTTTGGAGGAAAAGCCATTAGGTTTGCCCAGGTCCGGCTTCACTCTGTGTTTTCCACTCGGCTTTCTTTCCAGGATGCTATCCAGGCTGAAATCCTCGCACAGTTGCTCTCTACATCATCGTCCTCCTCACTATTGAGCTCCACAACTATCTGTTCGTCAAAAGCTTCGCGCGCTTCCTCTGACAAGACGCCGAATATTTCAGAATCTAAGTTTTCCTGCAATTTGGCCTCTTTGTATTTTCTAGAAGAAGAGCGATCGTGTTAGGGCGGGTTTAGGGAAAGGATAAAGAGCAGTTATGGAAGAAGCAGCATGCACGTACCTCGCAGAAAGACGGTCATATAAAATGGAAGTCGACGGGCATCGCAAGACCACGACGAGATCTATCCATGATTTGGGAAACAATTCGCATGCATGCCAATCAATCAAGTAGCCGCCCTGAAGCACCTCATCTTCAATCGCGTCCAGTAACTATACTGTCACATCAGTCTACGTGCGTGAGTTCGGGATGAGCCTGAAACGTAGGCAAGATCCTCGTAGGTGTTGTGCCTTCAATACGGATATCGAAAAGTTAACGACGTACTTTGTCCTCGTCAACGATCCAGGTCTCCAAATCCTGGTCATAGCTTTCGAAGCAACCTCGATCTTTGGCGACCTGGTTTATGGATAGGTGTCGCAAGCCGACCTCCTGCGCTAATTTCTCGCAATGAACAGTTTTCCCTACACCAGGGGTGCCTGTAATGATCACATTCGGGGATCTTCGCATAGTGGCCCCAGCAAAAGTGCCAACCGCTCGAGAGTGATGAATGAGTCGTGTCTGATACCATGCAATGGAATCGAGGGGTTCGGGGAATTTTTCAGCGGGGCGGGCCGTGCTTTGGGCCTCAGGCATGAATTCGCAACCAGTAAAAGCAAATTCCAATCACGGGTACAGTAAGGTAATGCGTAAAAATGCAGAAGCTTCATTAGACTCTCTAAACTCCTGATAGCAAATTCTACGAAATAGTCAATATTGATGATTAATATTGTTTGTATGCCATAAGAACTCTGTTGGAAAGGGTCACTTGGCATATGATGAAATAGTCGTGTGGAAAATACTCGCCCTGCTTTTCTATCTGTCCATTAAAAGGTGGTACAATGAGAAAGACCTGCTAATGTGAAAACGGGCCCTCTTACTCCGTATATGCTGAAATAGCATCATTCGAGCCCGTACCATAGGATGCACTTTGGAATTTAGTTATGATAATCCCTCCTTCGCACCACACCGAGTGAAGAAAACGCCAATGAGACGGGTGTGTTCAAATTGAAGGCAACGACTAAGAAACGCGCAGTCTGGCGAAGTCAGAGTAGTCAACAACAAGACAAGCTTACCGAACTTACTTGAGAAGCTCAAACACCTTGTATTTCTGCAAATAGGTAGTACCGCGCCGATATGCTTTTAGGACCTTCGTTGGATCGAGAGATGCGATTGTTCTTGGTCCGCTGAGACGTCTCACTGCAAGAGGGATTTTGAACATTGGGTCGAAGACGAGCAGATTCGCACCTCCGTCTCCTCGGACTTCGAAGCCAACGATGGTCAAAGAGTGACCTGTGATGTGTCAGTCGCCAATATTGATTTTCAACATTGATAACACAGTACCATGGTGTTGTAGATATATCGGGGGTAAGTTGGTCAAAAAGACTTTGTCATCTCCATCCAAGGAGCATGCGCACCGAAAATAGGCGGCGACAGCCGCGTACAAGGCGTCGTGGGCACGCATTTCTCTGGTTTCTCCGATGCTACTTGCTTCGCAGCTGCTAAAGGTCAGCATTTTGTGGCTCCGTAGCGTCTGAGGGGAGCCTGGTCTTACTCAATCCCCAGACTCAGAAATAAAGCCTGTGCCTGTAGGAATGAGCATTCTGTCAATTATCACATTTTAGCATTCTGACTTTACCTCTGGTGTGCCAATGTACTTCCTGGTGCCGCGAATTCCCCCAGTCTCAGCTCTTCCTACGCTGTTGAATCCCATATCCCATGCACGTTCGATCATATCTTGTAGCTGCAGAATAGTCGGTAGTGTCTCAGTGAAATGCTCATGACCGGAGATATGAGATTCTTGAATGTACGAGATGAGCATCTGGATATTCCTGTAACCGCAGAAACCGCCTTCCCTTGGCATCTTGGAAATTTGACGGACCTTCGGACTGCAGAAAAAAGCTCGCTGAACAGACTTATCCTGTTCGCATAGCTGGGAGAGCAGTGAGATCACATTGCTGGCCTCATTATCACTTGTCTCTAGTTTTGAGAGCTTGCCATTTGGGCCGATGATGTTGGACTGAGTTTTCTTTGCGCCCTGTTCTAGTAGTCTCCGAAGCCATGCCGGCATTCGTTTCTCATGGGCGTATGGTCCCAGTTCTGCACGCTGTGCCCCAGTTAGCGCGGTATCAAAAGCACTTCCAACCCGGGTATAGTACTCCAAGTCTTTTCACACTTCCAGGAAGTGACACATTGGCTAGCAGAGGGCTTGTCACCTCGTTTTCCGTTGAGGATGGACCAGGCCCCTGCCTTCGACCCCGGGGTTGGAGTGAAACGTTGCAAGTATCTCCGAGGGCCTCGCCATCGCCCGTTCGACCTTTTGAGCGTGTAAGACCGGGGTCCTGGACCTTGCTCACCGTCACGGGGCGTTTTGGATAGATTGACGGCGCATCGTCAACTGCCATCCCTTCTGCGGCATGCATATCAAGATGATACGGGATTTCAGCAGATAGTAGGATCTCACCACAGCCGTGTTGACATCTGATGTACACCTTTTCATCCCCTGGGATTCGTGGTTGTAGGTATCTGGGAGATGGTTGATCTTCATCCCCGTTTTCTCCAGAGGGGGGCTCAGTTTGTCCGCCACCTTCAGGATGACAGTATTCAACATGCTGCGCAACAAAAGTATCATCAGGATCAGAGAAAGGACAGAATGGACAGGTTGGGTGATGAACGTCGTCGTGACCCATTATTGTAGGCACGGGAGTCAGGCTACTTGCTATGAAAAGCAGCGGCGGGATCGTATCCTTTTGTATACTTTCTCGGAGCGGTTAGTCTGCTCTCTGTCTGGGGAGGGACAATGGAAAGGGACAATGTTTTCCTGGGGATGGAGCACTTCGGCAGTGGAAGCGATATATATTATTCCATCCTACTGGTGAGCACGGGTGCCTGATCGAGTTCTTAGGTACCTACACTGTCGGAAAGCTACTAATTAAAAGAGGCAAGTAAGACAAACCTGGCTATGCTCTCATATTAGTAGCAGGAAACGCTATATCTCCGTTCCTGGGACATAGAGATCTGGACAGATACTTAGACCACCTCAAGGTCTAATTTAGGCGATGACCGAGTTACAGATAATAAAAATAATAACGATCTCACGAGTAATAATTGGGATCGATAGTAAAATTAGACAATGATAATGGATATACTACATTATGCTCCGTTTATTATTATTCTTATTCCATTCCTCTTCTTATTTTCTTCTATATAGGTAAAAATCTTTCTTTCTTTTTTCATTTTCATTTCGTTTATTATTTTATTTTTTCATTATTTTCTTTCCTCTCGGGGGATGAATCATCAGCAAAAAAAAAAAGAAAAAGAAAGAAAAAGCTCCGGAGTAAATCACTACTCCGTATGTGCTCCGCTTTCGCAACCCCGCCAGTCCATATAAAAAGGTGTCCCTGCTCCCCGCGCCGATTACAGGACCACTATCATACACGTTGAATTCTTGCATTTGCAAGACAGCTAGTCTTGTCATACTTGATCTAGCAGTATGGGAGACCAAGTACAATCCGACTCGAGTCCCTATACTCTGTCAATTACCAATGACAGTTCAAACTGGGTAGTACAAAAATTTGGGGGCACCAGTGTCGGAAAGTTTGCACTGAATATCATTGATCATGTTGTGCTGTAAGTCCTCATATATCAGTCCTAAAATATGAGCAAGTTTTCTAATTGTATTCCTGCTGTTATTTTCACCAAGGCCAAGTCTCAGAGAAAACAAAGTCGCCGTGGTATGTTCCGCAAGAAGCAGCTCAACTAAAGCTGAAGGTACCACGAACCGGTGAGTCATACCAGTTGATCTGAAATTCTTTCTGCGCGAAAATTCGATCGCCATGTCCTTCACTCTTTCACTGTCCTTCATCTATCACTCATTTACTCATTGGCAACCGTTAAATAGTCTCCTGCGAGCAGCCCGTGATGCCGAAAACGCCCAGTCGCACGAGTACGTTTCCTTGGTGGAGGCAGTTCGGCTCGAACACGTCCAGGTCGTCGAGGTTCAGATACAATCTGAAACCCTCAGGACTCAGTTAATTTCAGAGATTAATGGCGAGTGCGAAAGAGTCCTGAAGGTTCTAGAGGCGGCTCAAACGCTCGGGGAGATAAGTGCGCGTTGTGTGGACAAAGTCATCAGTACAGGAGAGAAACTTAGCTGCCGACTGATGGCTGCCTTCCTACAAGACCGTGGCGTAGATTCGCAGTATGTGGATCTAGCGGAAGTGATTGATTTCCCTATCGGGAGTCAAGGTCTCGACCAGGACTTTTATAACAATCTTGCTACTGTTCTCGGCAGAAAGCTCAGGGATTGCGAAGGAAGAGTGCCGGTGGTCACTGGCTTCTTCGGGACTGTGCCGGGGGGTCTTCTTGATCAAATTGGCCGTGGTTATACGGATCTCTGCGCTGCACTCGTTGCAGTCGGAGTCCGTGCCAAAGAACTACAGGTGTGGAAGGAGGTTGACGGGATATTCACCGCTGATCCTCGCAAAGTCCCGACCGCGCGTCTGCTGCCAGCCATCACACCCGCTGAGGCAGCTGAGTTGACGTTTTATGGCTCCGAAGTAATCCATCCTTTCACCATGGAGCAAGTCATCCGCGCTAGGATTCCCATTCGTATAAAGAACGTTATGAATCCAAAGGGTGATGGGACCGTGATATTCCCCGACTCGACATACGAACTTGAAAGAACAACCCCAGGCCATGATCCAAGGCTTTTCCGTACACGAAGCCCCAGTCTCATGCAGCGGCCGAAGCGACCGACAGCTGTCACAATCAAACATAAAATACTCGTCATCAACGTGCATTCAAACAAACGTTCGCTTTCCCATGGCTTTTTTGCTGGGATATTCTCTGTTCTTGACCGCTGGAGACTCTCGATTGATTTGATATCTACAAGTGAGGTCCATGTGTCAATGGCCCTTCACTCAGAGATGCCTCTCCTCAATGGAGTTGGTAGAGATGAGTATCAGATCATCGACGAAGATCTGAAAGGCGCCTTGAATGACTTGCAGAAGTATGGTACAGTCGATATTATCCCAGAGATGGCTATTCTCAGCCTGGTTGGGAAGCAAATGAAGAACATGATTGGAGTTGCGGGGCGCATGTTTACCACACTCGGTGAGAATAATGTTAATATCGAAATGATATCACAGGGTAAGTGCCCTTATTTGGTACTACGGGATTAGTCTTCATTTGAAGCCTAAGACTAATTGCATGCATCATACTTCAGGTGCGAGCGAAATAAACATCTCATGTGTCATCGAAGAAAGGGACGCAGACCGTGCTCTCAATATCATTCATACCAGCATGTTTACTTTCCTGGACTGACGACATATTTTCTTCGCCTAGCCCTCCTTTCCCAGAGTCAGTGTTGCAGGATCTTCTAGTACTCCGAGAGAGCGACTCTCAGCTCTCTGAGAGGCTGAAAAGTCAAACTAATGGTTTCATGATAATACGGAAAAAGCAACCCGAACATGTCTATATTTATTTACGCGTTCGGATTGGTATTCCATGCTTTGTTACTGGAGTTGGTGTTAATATGCCTCGGTCGCCAATGTTGCCTTATCATTCTCCTGCTTGGGGATACTCCATGTTTCAGTGTAGCTCTTCCCTCTTCACACTGCCTTGTCCTTGCATGCAGCGTTTATTGCTCTTCAATTTCCTTTGTTCCTTTTCCTGTTAAGATCACTGTATTTGCTTTTTGCAGATAGATGGGTTTGTGCTCTTTTATGACTGTTTAAAAATGAGTATTCATGACTGTATATAGATTAAGAGAGGAGCATCAATAGATCTGATCTCTGGGTGCTTTCTTCAGTAACCAGAGTCTTATGGGCCGAACTGGACCACATATCTATACAGACTTGCACTTTGTACTGTCTGTATACATTGTTGGTTCACATGCACCAGTTCAATTGACAGCTTCTTGTTCGCTATAATTGGGCGGTGATAGTAGCTAGAGCGCAAGCGCACTGTAAGGTTCGAGTCGCGGGGAGGGTCTCTGAATACCTAGGTAATATGATTTATACATTTACTTCGAACTTCGTAGAGTACTTATGCAACAATGCGATCTCGCCTGGGTTGGGTGACAGAGCCTAGTGGGGTAGTAGTGGTCAAAAAGAGGCTTGCTCTTTGGTGGTGAGTCAACCTTCTCCAATTCTTTCGAACAAACCCCAGCTAACTCAATGTGAGTATGGCCAGCCTTCGATAATCACTAGGTAGTTTTGACTTATTAATGCTGGCAACCCTCTGAACCACTATACGTATCAAGCACACCTTTTCTCTCTCTTACACACACACACACACACACACACACACACACACACACACACATATACACACACACACATATACACACACACACACACACACACACATATATATACACACACACATATATATATGTATATTTAAGGCTGGCCTAAAGGCACATTACCATACATATATGGATAATGTTATATCAGTCAGTGCATGGCATCACATCATATAGTTAATAGTCTATAAAGTTTAATAAAATAGTACCTTTGTGTGATCTATATGTTGGTACCCCATCCTTACTTTCAGGATATCAGTTTACCTACAAGTGGCACATCTTATAATGCTATATAATAGTACCGTGTACCTCTAGCATGCCTATTATTAACGTATCCATTGCTTGTATATTATTCCTATCGCGCACCACAGTGAAGTTTGCAGAAGGTCATTTCAAGGATAGATATGATTAATTTATACACTAAATGACCCGATATGCAAGTTCCCATGGAAAAGGGGCAGTCTGTTTTACTTGATTATAGAAGATGGAGCTGACATTATTCAAAATGAAAATGCAATTAGTATTACAATGAATTACTTTATACTGAGCTACATAATACACCTCGAGACCACTCTAGAATCCAGGTAGAACAATTTGCCTGCACCCAACCCCGTACCCTCGGGCCCCAGCCCTTTCCGCCCCTTTCCCTTAGTTAATATTGATGGAGCCCATGCTCTACTATTGGCTAATCAACAATGTCATGCCTAGTCCCTAGGTAGTATCTAGCATCTAGCTACAATCTACTTCACAATACCGTAGGTCCACAATGGCTGGAACGGTGGAGGCGGATTCTTCATGTAGATATTAAGGTTACAAGGTAGAGTTCACTAGACTACTGCGCGGATACGGAGTAGTTCTAGGTACCTAAAGCAGTCGAGAAGTAGGTAGGGTCTGGATATAGAATGTTACCAATTGGAGTCTTACCTCCGAACCCTGGAAACTGTACGGAGTACGTTGTTGCGTACTCTGTGGACAGGAGGAGCGAGGTAGGAATTTGAACGGCTTTTACTGATGAGGAGGGAACAAAGGAGTCACAACCGAAAGGGAGGGAAAGGAGGGTAGAGGCAGGATTTCGGGCGCAAGGGGGCGGCGAGTGTGAAGTTGGATTCAGATTCTAAAGGCAAGGTACAAGTAGGTAGGTTGTAAACTCCATAGCATAACGAAGTGTAGATACTAGTAGTACCAGTGCCGGTACCAGGAGCAGCAATTAAGGTCATAAGTAGAATGTATATCCCAAAGTGACCTGGAAAGTCACAGAAGTGAAACCCCCCGTGCCTTGTTGTACCTACCTAGAACATATTTTAAACTACTTAGCTAGGCACATATATGTATCTACATGAGGGGTGCACATCATCATCTTACAGTAAAATGATAATAAATTGTGCCATCATATGATACAAAGTATTGGGCACTTAAGTAGGTAGCAAGATACCAAGCTGCTGTCCTACCTAGTATTCTGTAACTGTTGCTCTGTTCAAGAGTCAAGGATATAAGAGAACGCCTGCTCTGGCTTCTGTTTCTGCCATCCATTTAGGGAGGCCTGACGCGTGACGCGGACGCGTCATACCATACCATACCACCCCGCGGGTTCCGCGACAGTCAACATCCCAGAGGTGATGCACATATCCTTCTTCCATTCCACAGTCGACTAATTATAACAAGGGAATAGTCAACCATCTTCATTCACGCCCCACCTTTCCTGGGCTGGACACAGTCCTGCCAGTTAACCACCAGACAGGGATCTGATATAGAGTCGAGCCCCGTCTTCCCGAAGGTCTCTCCTCCCCCTGCCAACCTGTATCTGTTTCTCTTCCCTCGCTTGAATTGTCTTCAGGTCCCAAGAAACGCCTTAAACCACCTCTTACTTGATTAGACGTGCTCAAGAGATTTCCCTACTCGCTACAACACCTCACGAAGCCTTCTTTCAAACCCTTGTGGTTCGATGCCAATTTGTCTTGGGCCGCGCTCTCAATGAGTCCTTGTTAGCGCCTTGGAGCCCAACTCACCGATTCTCCTCTTTCACGACCTGATTCTACCAGTTGAACTTCTCTTCTGCTATCATCATTCTATTTACCCTAGGCGTTGATACCTGATTCTGGTTGATTACATGCGCCAGCCACTGTCTTTGAAATTCTAGTTTGACGAGGTGCTTCGCGTCCTCATCTCAGAAACACTTGTCTGCTATCAGACCTTTGAGAGTGCGCGCATTGCAACTGGCGATAGTCTTCTTCTCATTGTGATCAGAATTTTCTACTCCACGAACGCGGGTGCAGTTCCCTATTGCCAGTCAATCACTGGAGATGGATCCCACGCGTTCCGGGCCCTTTGTGCCGCCACTTTCAGAACTGGCTGCGGAGCACGACACAAAGGCTTTCCAATCCCACTCTCAGAATCTTAGTCCATCATGTTCATCGTCGCTACCCTTACAGCCTCCCGAGAATGTTCCCGCCGGTCAAGAATGCATACTTGATCCGCCACTATCCAGCGCTCATAGACCGTCTCCTAGGAAGACGCCTCGTGGGCTGAAGACGTCGCTTTCCGGCCGTCGCGAACTGGGCTTCATTCCCATAACAGCTCCCGCTCCGCCGAAGTTCACGACAGACTCGCCAGCTAAGAGGACTCCAAGTATTACATATCCATACACTACCTCTTCGTCTTCGGCAATGCCACAATCTGCCCTATTCACGACCTTTCCCAGCGTCAATCATGGAAAACAGTCCTCCAAGGAGAAGCGACAACTGGCTGAATCTTGTAATGACAACTTCGCCGATTTCCCTGAACCGTCTTTTGCATCGAAGCCTCCGAAGAGGACCCTCATGGATGCTGCCCCATTGAAGGAACGAACGGTCAAGAAGCAGAAGCGCGAAGATGTCGATGTTACGCGACTTCCGAGTCCGCAAGAGATGACCCCCATTGAAGACGATGGCACAAAGCCTCCTTACAGCTATGCGACCTTGATAGGAATGTCTATTTTACGCGCGCCTAACCGACGTTTGACTTTGGCTCAAATATACAAATGGATCTCAGATACGTTTTCTTATTACAAACACAGTGATCCCGGGTGGCAGAATAGCATTCGTCATAACCTCAGTCTGAACAAAGCTTTTATTAAGCAGGAACGGCCGAAGGATGACCCGGGCAAGGGAAATTACTGGGCCATTGAACCCGGAATGGAAGCCCAATTTCTTAAGGATAAGCCTTTGCGTCGCGCAACCATGTCAAGTCTTCCTCTTCCTGTTACCTCCCAGAGAGAGCCTGCTCACACGCAAAGCTCCGGTACGACAACATGGGCCATTCCCCCACCTAACCACACCTTAGTACCGAAGAGCTCCAAGAATGTGGATCTTTCTTCTGATGCCACGATACCCGCCTCAGACCCTGCTCTTCAGGACGACATGAGTGACGAGGGTGTTAATGCTGCTACGTCCCAAGCGCCTCTGCGCTCTTCTCCACCCCAACCAATACGTTCGTCACCTCCTATCCCCCCCCCTGGGTTTATTCGCCAGGGAACACCTCCAACGCCTTCTCATCCCACATCTTCCGCCGTTGTTCCTCACTCTCGCAAACGAGAATCGACCACGATGAATGACAGCGGATACTTCTCTTCCCTGGAGTCTTCAGCAATGCGTCCAAAGAAGACAGGGCATATTTTAACGTCGGACCTGGATATTGACCCTCCTCGTATTAAACGTGGCCGAGCAGAAGAGGAGATTGCTCGAATTCGAAGCTCTTCCCATGATATCAGCCCAAGACGTCCCGGAATGCTCAAAGATACTGGTGTAGCGATCGGCTCTTCGCCGGTTCGCGGTGAGTATGTCAGCATGCTGCCGCCTCCTCTAACGCCGGTGATAAAGTTCAAGAAGCCAGCTAAGCCCCCGCCGTCTGTGTCTCCCAACACAAACCTTCGGAATCACCGCAAGAAAATCCAACAAATGGTCAATTCTCCCTTGAAACATCTGGGGCTGACAGATGAAGACCTCCCGTGGAGTCCTGCTTTCAGAATCCAAGACGAAACATACACCCCAAGCGACCATCTTCATGCGACTTTCGATGTCTTTGCGGAATCTGCAGAGGAAGGAATCTCGACACTAGCATATGGCTCGCCAGAGAAACGGTCCGCGAAACGTGCTCGAATAGATACCGAAAACCAGACTGGTACTGTCCTTGCTGATATCACTTCTGTGAGTGTCAATAGCAAAACAGGCATGCAGGCTTTGCCGTCTGCCAAGTCTAAGGGTCCTTTGTTCCCCGAATCACCGTCGAAAATGCCTGAACATGGGCGTTTTGGCGATGCCACCCACGACGACTTTTTCTCATTTCATCTCTTCGACGAAAGCCCCGTGGAAGTAGACGGAGTCGACCTTCTGCAAGGCTTTCAGAAGATTGGAAGTTCGAGCAAGGACGAATCTGCGAGATCCAAATCGCACACTTCAAGACCTCAGCTGAACATCAGAAGTAATACTGCTTTGTTCTGAGGCACTTCGAAAACCCCTCGATTGAGAGGACAGACGAAGGATTATGAATTCTGTTTCACGATACCCAATTTACGAGCTGTTGTTGTAAATTCACGAGCGACTTAGTCGGCACACTTCATGATCGTTGAAGGGGAATTACGAAGGTCAATACTTTGGAGTTCTCATTCAGTTATTTAGGTCTGGGTCGTTCTCTTTTTGTCTGGTTACTTACTGAACTTTCCTGGAGTTTTGGGTTAAGGCGTGGTCTGGTGTCGATCTGAATTCCCACTGAACTGTGACGACCCTTTGATGACCTTTATGACTATATTTGTTAGATGTACATGAAACAATTGTTGATGATTTTAGCTTTTCCTTCTATTTTCAATTTTTCTTACTGGCGCTTAGTTTTGGAGTCATTAAGGATTATTTGATATTCACGTCTGCAATTGAAGGGTTTTATAATGGAATCTCTCTTAGAATAAAGAAATCAAAAGGGTTCGGGGAATTCTTGCCTGAATTCGTGAAATCATGAGAGTTATCATATGAGGGGGTATCATGTCATGTGCTTAGGAAAGAAAGGCTTGTGGGAAGAGTAGTCTGAAGACTAGAGCTAGACAAAACACCCGAGGTCTAGCAGAGGCAAAAAAAGGGGTGTCCACAAGTAAGAAGGGAGAGATCAATCAGCCGAAGGAGATATCAACCAACGCAGTAACCACAGAACCAGCCTTGGTGATGCTGGATGCCCTCATGTCTTGAGTCCTCCACGCGAATGGCAGCGGAAATAAGTATCAGTCACTGCTTGCGCAGCCTCGACAACCACAACTGACGCACTGAATCATCTGATCCTCCTTCAACTGGGCTTTCGGCACCCGGCAGATACACGTCGCATTAAAATTTGTCTCTTTCGTCTGAATGCAGCGGAGACAACAAAGCTATACAATCAACATGTCGACAGTTAGCATATCACTTGTCTTCCACTGTTATTCTGGAAGGCCGATAGATATGGCTCCAGACGGGAACATATGAGAAGCTCTGATTAGGAGCTCTGACAATACCTTTTCGTAGCCTTGTTTCTTCCATTTGGCGATGAGGTTGGCGTCCGCATAATTGTTCTTGAGAAGCCATTCATACAACTGCTTTGATATCGCCTCTTTCTCATAATAAAGGTCGTATATGTATCTTGAGCCTACGAAGCAGTCAGCTGATAGCCATCGGTAGCGCTACATCAAGAAAGCTCACGCTGATGACTTATTTGGAAAATCGGCCATAACATCTCATGTTTCTTCTTTCCATCGTGTGGCGCGTTTTCCGCATCTTTCATTTTATTGCTGAACTCCAGCAAAGTGTCCTCTATATCATCGAAGCCTGCAGGTGGTGGTTTACGATTGCGCGAGGTTCGTATCGGAGGCATACTTTTGACGACGATCTTCTAGCGAGATCCAGAGAGGTAGTGCCCAGAAAAATGAGGATGGGATTTCCAAAAGTCTATGATTTTATGAGCAGTCTGGCTTTATTTGCCTTAGCTTTCCAGAAGACCCGGGGGGCTATTGTTCCTGAAGGTAGATAAAGCAAGAAATGGTACCTCTCTAGGCAATGGAAAAATGATATGCTGTTATTTCTGCCGCCACACACCGCTCACAATTTACATCTTCAAATTGCAAATGAGTAGGTACTGCTGTTTGCTTGTAGTATTAATACTCCATACACATTTCCATCTGCGTCTCAACTCCGTGATCGTTGTCGTCTGAGACATCATCTGCAACCAGCCCAAAAGTTTCATATACAATAATCTTTCTTCCCCACTATCTCTTGTAGAGAAAATGGATCCTCAGACTCAAAATGATATCGCCAAGCTCAGCGATGCCGACAGAAAAGAACTGACACAATTTCTCGAAAACGAGGCTCAGCGATCCAATATTCAGCAGAGTAAGTGATCTCTTGAGCTACATTCGTCATGATAATCTTTCTCGCTCGCATTGGGGGGGGCTCAATTTTACCGTCATACCTCCGGAGTAATATTTGGCTCTCTGAATATCTTTACTGACTCGGTGTCTGGGCAGCGGTTCACCATCTCGCCGATGTCTGCTGGAAGAAATGCATCACTGGAAAGATTTCTTCAGGCCGTCTGGGTCAGGGAGAGGAGAGCTGCGCACAAAACTGTGTCGAACGATGGATGGACACGAACTTCGCCGTCCTCAAGCACCTGGAAACTCTTCGAGGGCAATGATTTAATCAGGATTATAATGAGGAAGTGCATTCCACACAAGTCATGGCAACATGTGTTTATCGCTATGTAACGATGCGAGGCAAACCCGGATCGCCTGCGCGAAATGGAAACTTGAATCATGTATTATAAGTCAGGAAATATGAACTCTCAGTCTTGTTTCGAATCGTCTACTCATGCTGCTTGCGCAGCCTTAGATCTACCTCGTAACGAGTCCAGGCTTGTAAGCTCAATCCGACAGTCTCGAGGACGACTGCTCGACCTACTTAACCTTGTAAGATCAGATCTACGCAAAATAAAGGTCTGGTGAAATCATGCATTCAAGTAATTCTTTTTTCAATTGATCATTCAGCCCTCATTGCAGCACTCGCGGCAAGCTTTTATGACTGGTATTTATGAACCACCACGCAAAACAACAAAATTCGCCCAGACCCAAAGGAAACCGTTATCTAGACAATGGCAAGCTTGGTGGCAGCAATGTCCAGAGCATCCACATCAGGGGTTAGCCGAGCGAAGGCCTTCTTCGATCCATCGGGTCTATGGAAAAATTAGAATAGCGGCCTCCAGCAGAATCATTGAAACCACGAAAACCAGTGTCCATACCTGACGAGGGTGTTGACCTTGACAGTGTCGACATCGTACAGCTTCTTGAGGGCCAGCTTGATCTGTCTCTTGTTCGCCTTGACGTCCACAATGAAAACCAGGGTGTTGTGCTCCTCAATCTTCTTCATGGCACTCTCAGTGTTGAGAGGGTAAAGGACAACCTTATGGGCATCGAGACGGGGCTCATGAGGGATCGACTTGCGAGGGTACTTGGGCGACCGAGAGAGCTGAAGGGTCTTGGGACGGTGGAAGGTGGTGGAAGTGCGGATCTTGCGAGACTTGTGCGCCTGATTGAATCAAAAGAACCTTTAGTACAGAAAATGAAACATAGGCTTCGCGGACGGATCATTTCAACATACGCCTGCACCCTTCAAGACTGCCTTGGCAGCAGCGCCAGCCCTGTCGCTGGGCTTGGTCTTGCCTGTTCAATTCAAGAAGCTGTCAGTTTCACTGGTGATAGACCCGGAACCAAATATCTTGACACGATTGAAGATTTTGCCAACACAGTCCAAATCGCTGAGAGCGAACGACAAGAAATCAGAGCAAAATCGTTGCGCGGTCGTGACATGTTGCTCTCGCTGATTCGAGAATGTATAAATTGACTGGACATTGGTGCGGTGATTTGGCGATTCTCATTCTTATTCATGTCCACAAACTCGGGCTCAAACCATCGACACGTCTGCAATTTCAAGGAAACTATGAACTCGCTCAGATTCAACCTACCTTGCTTGTTTTCCACCTTAGGGGCCATGGCTGTCGTCCGGCGCTGTCGTGTTGATTGTCGCAGTGTCGAGAGTCAAAATGTTTCGAGAGTATTCGCTTAGCGAAAACCCTACGAGTGACTGTGTGCGTCACCTGACCTTCCCCCTCGCTGAGAGCATTCGATCTCTTGGCGCTGACTGAACCCGATCCGCTTTCTCCGTCTAAATTCGGCTAGGCCAAAAAGTAGTGTTAAGATTTAGGACATAATAATAATTAGTGTATTATTTTGTTATCTAAGTAAGACTTGGACCATCAAGCAGAAATTCAGAACATCTCAGGCCCAGAATGTGGACATCACGTACATCCGGAAAGTGACAATATTCTTTCTTCCTTTCTTCGATCCTACTTTTCAAGAGATTCGCTCAGGTCGCCTCAGCCTCGGGCGACCGCAATTGTTTCCGTAGCTTCAAAATACAATGGCTGCAGTCAAAAAGCGTTTAAGGAAGCCAAGACTGCTCTCTCACACGCGCCCGCCAACAGTTAGAACGAAAAATCCAAAACTCTCAGCAAAAGCGACCCGGAATCTCATTCGATCCCATCATCGTCTTTTGAAATCTCGAGCCCAGGCATTAAAAGCAGGCGACGAGGACCTAGTCCGGGAGATCGATGGGCGGATCCAAGCAAATGGTGGCCTGGAGAGCTATCAACTTGCCAGCAAATTGGGACAATCGTTGGAACGTGGCGGCGACTCGAGTAAAGTCCTCGTGGATTGGATCGCTCCGAGCTTAGCTCAGTTGAAGGATTCGCCTTATAAGCTACGAATGCTTGAAGTTGGGGCTCTAAGTACGGAAAATGCATGTTCTAAAAACCAGTACCTTGATGTCACGAGGATTGATCTGAATGCTCAGGAGCCAGGCATCTTGAAACAGGATTTCATGGAGAGGCCTCTTCCCCGCGCTGATGATGATCGGTTCCACATCATCAGTCTGTCTTTGGTGCTTAACTACGTTCCGAATGCAACAGGGAGAGGAGATATGTTGAAGCGTTGTGTAGAGTTTCTAACAGAGACACCCCTGGCTGGCTCCTCCATCACCATTCGACCTAGCCTGTTTCTGGTCTTGCCGTTGGCTTGCGTCAAAAACTCGCGGTACCTGACACCGAGTAGGTTGCAAGAAATATTGTCGAGTATGGGATTCACATTGGCAAAGAATAAAGAGACGTCGAAATTGATATTCCAGCTCTGGGAGCATGACGGACGTGGCAAGCCTCGGCAGTTCAAAAAGGAGATTTTAAATCCTGGGAAGACGCGAAACAATTTTGCTATCAATGTTCAATAAGAAAAGATGCCACGGCAAGGGAAACGAAGGCTATTAGAACGGGCTCAATTCGCAAAAATCATGCCTTCTGGCAAGAAAGCCCAGGCAGTTCCAATGATCGCCATGACGGATGACGTGATAAGGAGAAACCAGTCCAGTATGCGTTCACCCATCCCGATCTCCTTACCAAAAATTTTCAGGTAGAATGCGAGAGGCAGTATGATGCAAATTGTGAAACATAACGCGGATCCCATCAAGGCCATGATTTTGTCGAAGGATGGGAATACGATAGCCATCACAACAATTACAACCACCACAAAGATGCGTATGGTGACTTGGAGTGATCGGCGAAGTGTTTCTGTCAGCCCTTCATGACGATCAGACATCGTGTTGTGGCGCGGTTCGAGTCCACAAAGAACTTCAACAGTGGCGACTAGAGGCCGGCAGCTAAATTTCATCAGTTCCTTGTCTTGGGGCGCCGAGAAGCTAGCCATGAGGTTCACTCACTTCAAGGGCACTTTGGTGATAGGAATGATTGCAATCAGTACTATCACACAGATGGACAGGGCCTGGGGATATTCAGTCGTCAACAGCACGTTGGCTGTGATTTCATCTAAGACACCATCGCCGAACATCAACCATCCCACGATAGCCATTGCGCAATCCAATGAATACTGATGATTATGTTAGCGCTCGACACGCCGGCGGCGTGCGGCAATACATACTGTGAATATATATGTCGCCCAAAGGCTCTTGCCGTACTTATGGGGATGCCTCATGTCACGATAGATACACGGGAAGCACGAGTGTGCTCCCCAAGGGGCTGAATTGAGAATAAGTCAAGTCAGCGTACGAGATTCGGACAAAGGAACTGGTAGACTCACACATAATAAGACCAAAACTGAGCGGAAGAGTAGCCCAGTTGTCAGGGAACATTGTGGTTCTGGCCGGTTGACGAAGGGAGCCCGGGCTATCTGGTTTGACCAAGCCGTCAATGAATATGATGCTGACAACTGTAGATATTTAGTCCATCGTGCGAGCACCATTCAGAGGCAGGAATAACACACTGGAAGTACAAGACAGGATGCCTAGTATACTCGTGACACTTAGTAGCCGCAAGGGAACGAAGTTGAGCGGCATAAGCATAAACCCGCAAATTATTTTCCATTCAAGGATGCTCAGACCGGGTATCAGAGCATTAAGACTGTCGGCGAAAAGCACAACTAGGGCGACGCAAGCCCCTACCAGCTCCAGACAGAACAAAAGACTCGTCACAATCCGTGCATGGTGCCCAAAGCTGATGTAGGCTACATCTGCATATGTCACAAGGCTTCGGTCAACGTCTAAGCATTTAGCCAGGATCTTGGCAGTGTATGAAGTCGTCACAGCAGCGAAGAGGAGGAACGATAACCCCAGGAGCCACCCAGCGTATTTCATTGCCAGGGGCAACGACAACAGACCGACTCCAATCAAGACATTGACGGAATTGAAAACCGTCTGCGGCACAGTAGATTGGCCAACAATGACACTCTCTCGTGTTCCATCATCGTGCTGAATTTGTTTGATAAGGAGAGGCTCACCATCGGGAACTACAGTTGCGTTGCGATGTGCCACTTGTTCCCTGTGAAATTGTATTGCGTTTCTTCGAGTCGCTTCACTGACCCTGGATGAGATCGTACCGTAAGATGTCCCCAGGCTCCTGTCCAATGATGAGCTAAGGATGGCGGTATTTGGAAACCCCATTTTTGAGTGATCAGTATTACCTCCGTCTCCTTCCTCGTCACCATGCAGCAACGGCCGTGTATAATCAGCCTCCTGCCTGGCTGATAAAGAGCTTCGCGATGCAAGATCCTCATTCCATCCCGAAGTCCATTCTTCATCCGGTCTAGCTGCCGCGAACGAGGAACGTCGAGGGAGAACTTCGGGGAAACAAGCGGCTCGTTGCCATGAGCGAGCAAAATGATCAATGCTGTTGGGGCCGCCCGCAAATCTGAAGCGCGCAGAGAACGAAGACGACCTAGACAAAGACGTTAATTGGGAAACGTTCTATGAGCGAAATTGATCATGATATGGGTCACCTTTGTCTCTGCAAATTGTAGTCATTGATCGGACGGCCATCGTAGCTCGTTGAGCTGGCTTGGCTGTAGACATCGGAATCAAAAATCCTCCCTTCATATGACTGCTGGTCATTGCCGCACAAGTCTCCGTGGTTCTCCGCGGTCGACAATGGTTGCTCCTGCATTGCTCCTTTTTGCTTTCTCTTTTCTACTGTATCCCGTCGGGCAGAGTTTCTCCCACAAAATATTGGTGGTGGACCGTCGAGGAAGTTGTAGATACGGATAGAACCGAATCAACAAGGTATTAGCCGTCTTGGTCGTCCTGACTATAGATGTGCAAATCGTGGATTGCTGACAGCTTGAAGATTGTATCGAATGTACCGACAAGGGCATATATATAACGAGGAGACAGCAACATTAGACGAATATGCATTGTAGTGGTCTAGATAAAAGCTACTCCGTAGAGCAGGCTTGGTGAAGTGGGGTCTACTATCAGTAAGTACCTTACTTATGCTGGCAGATAAGGAGCCACCGCATAGCATGACCTAAAAATTAATCATCATAGAATCAGATAATACAATGGACAGGGACTGGAATTGAATATTGATAAAAGACAGCAAAGCATGAAAACGAGGGTGAAAACCAGAAGATCACAGGGATTGATCATGGAGAATCCTTAACAGAGCGAATCTTGAGCTCTGGTATTATGGAATTCAAAGAGCAACAAAGAATTATCAGAGCCACAAGAACAATTACTCGAGGAAAATCCAGTCCCCTAAACCACCCGTCCTCAAAAGGCCTTTTGTGCATACCTACATATTTTTGCTTTCATGAAGTGCTCCGTACATCAACATAGATAATATCATTAATGCACATTATTGGTACAACGCGCTCGCAGTGCCTCAAAGGTTTGGCTTATGTCATCCAGGAAAAACAGGCGACCGACCCATTCGTCGTATTATTATTGTCGGTTCCCTGCCACCCCACGGTGCCTGATGAAATTTGCTCCAACACCCCGCTGGACCTGGACGGCAAATTGACCAGCTTTAAGGTATGTGACTTGATTGCTCCTCTCAGTCTCTTTTTACTTTTTTTTTTTTCTTGTCTCGTCTGATTACGAATTCGTCCTTAAAAAAATTAAGAGGCGAATTCCTTCCTGCTTCTCTACTTTCTAACGCTAATAATAATCTTTGCCAGCATCAGACTGTCAAATTGTGAACCCTAGTTCTGCCTCTGGTCGCCAATTACCGTCGCCTCGCCCAACATGAGCGCGGCTCAGCCGAACGAAGCTGAGAAGAACATCGAAATATGGAAGGTGAAGAAGCTTATCAAGCGCCTTGAGGCCGCTAGGGGAAATGGAACCTCGATGATTTCTCTTATCATTCGTGAGGCTCTTCACATCCGCCCTTTTGCTCGATGCGTCGCTAACGTGAATCCTCAGCCCCCAAAGATCAAGTCTCACGAGCGGCAAAGATGTTAGCTGAAGAATTTGTATGTCGAATTCCATGGGGTCCATATTTATGTCTAACTGCCCGCTGACGGATGTGGTAGGGTACCGCTTCCAACATTAAATCTCGCGTCAACCGCCTCTCCGTCCTTTCAGCCATCACTTCTACGCAGCAACGTCTTAAGCTGTACAACAAGGTTCCTCCAAATGGCCTGGTGATCTACTGTGGTGAAATCATCACGTCAGAAGGGAAAGAACGAAAGATCAACATTGACTTCGAGCCATTCAAGCCTATCAATACCTCGCTCTATCTTTGTGACAACAAGTTCCATACAGAAGCTTTGAGTGAGCTCCTTGAGTCGGATCAGAAGTTTGGCTTCATTGTCATGGATGGAAACGGCGCCCTCTTCGGCACACTGAGCGGAAATACCCGAGAAGTCATTCAGAAGCTAAGCGTTGATTTGCCCAAGAAACACGGTCGTGGTGGTCAGTCCGCGTTGCGTTTCGCCCGTCTACGTGAGGAAAAACGTCATAACTATGTGCGCAAGATTGCCGAACTGGCTGTCCAAAACTTCATCACGAACGACAAAGTGAACGTTGCGGGCCTGATTTTAGCAGGTTCTGCTGATTTCAAGAATGACCTCAACCAGTCAGATATGTTCGATCAGCGTTTGCAAGCGAAGGTCATCAAAGTCGTGGATGTCTCTTACGGCGGAGAAAATGGTTTCAACCAAGCCATTGAACTCTCCTCGGAGACTTTGAGCAATGTCAAGTTTGTCCAGGAGAAGAAGCTGATTGGCCAGTACTTCCAGGAAATCAGTCAAGATACTGGAAAGGTCTGCTATGGTATTGATGACACTTTGAAGGCGTTGGAACTCGGTGCCGCGGAAACTCTCATCGTTTACGAGAACCTCGACGTGACTCGATATGTTCTCAAGACGTCAACTGGCTCCGAAGTCATCGTCCATGCCACCAAAGCTCAAGAAGAGAACCGAGCGTTGTTCACCGATAAAGAGACTGGCACTGAGATGGAAGTTGTTGAGCAAACTTCCTTCCTCGAGTGGCTTGCGGAGAATTACAAAGATTTTGGTGCTACGCTGGAGTTTGTTTCAGATAAATCCAGTGAAGGAAACCAGTTTGTGAAGGGGTTTGGTGGGATTGGAGCACTCTTGCGGTACAAGGTCAACTTCGAACAGCTTGCCGATCTTGATGACGAAGATGAATTTTACGACGGTACGTCTTGAACCCTGAAGAAAACTATCACGCATGCTAACACAGGGCATCTGTGCAGATTGACGGTTCAGCGGCCTCGCAGAGAGCGAGGATGAACGGCCAGAAGTTCCCAATATGGATCTTTTGACGGCTCGCCCTGTTGTTCGTGAAGGCGGCTTTCATGGTGAACCCGTGGGTACCTTGGCATGTACCGCCCTGTGGTCTGGACAAAACTCTATAAAGCTGCTCAGAGGTTTGTCTATAATCCATTTCCGACATACACTTTGGTCCAGGAATCGGGTCTGACAACCGCGCATCAGGGCCATCCAAGCTCCGTAAAATGGTCACTGAGGCTACCTAGTTTTCTCTAGGTCGGCTGGAAGTGTACTTTGTTGAAGAATGGTGGATCTGTTGTGCAGAACCCAGCCGTTCACAAAACATGGTCGAGCTTAAGAACTAAGCTGGCGAGATTGAGATTGTTCTTTTCTGGCACAGTTTACTGGGTCGAAATTCCTTCCATTTACGCTCGTTATTTCTGCGTTCTCTATGTGACCAACGGCAACTAGCAAGCACCTCGGTATTTGCCAGACTGGCTCTGTTCGCGATGAAACACGAATGTCTTCCTCTTAAGAAAGTTGCTGTTCCGTATATAGAAAATCATATCTGTGCTTTCCAGGGATGTCAGATGAGATAGCATGTACCATGTATCAAACGCTGCTAGTTGAAAGCTGGTCTTTCCAAGTGCCAAGATGCCTGCAGCCCTCAGTAACCTGCCGCATCTTATCCAGAATCGTAGTAACCCTCTGGCTATTCTGGTCCGTCGGAAATTGTTGGCATTCGACAAAGAACACATATTGCCAAGCCCTTCTCTGACTCGGTCGCGTGTTGATGCTGGTAAGATTCATACCAAAGTCCTTGAATATCAACAGAGCGTCTGCCAACGCCCCTGGAAAATCCTGACGGATTCTGAACGAGATCAGAGTCTTTTCCGCAGACGGTGTGAGCTGGGGTTTCAATTCGACCGAGGGTGCCTTCACAGCGTCAAATGGAAGCCGGGCTGTACGCTCTGACTTTGTGTTCCTCAGAACGAGGAATCGCGTTGTATTGTCGGCCTTGTCCTCGATATTTTCCGAGAGTACGTCTAGGCTGTGGTAGTCAGCAGCGAATCGGCTAGCTATGGCACCACTGTGTTCTTCTGTCTCAAGTGAGACCATCTCAGCAGCTTTTGAGGTTGAAGAAACGTCCTGCCTTTCGATGCCTTTTAAGAATTTCGCCAGGAAATTCTCACATTGACCCCATGCCTGGGGATGTGTATAGAGCTTTGTTATTGACCTTATATCCGGTTGCGACAGGCCCTTTCGAACCAGCAGGCAGTGGTGAACTGTCAAATAATGCTCTCCGCATACATTCACATCTTTGTAGAGCCCATATTGATCTGCTAAAAGATCAAGATTCTGGACAACTGATCCGTTGGTCGAATTCTCGACAGGGATGATGGCATAGTCTGCTTCGCCCTGCTGAACTGCGGCGAAAGCATCCGCAAACGATAGGCGGGGTGACAACTCAGCCAAAGGTCCAAAGCACTCAACGGCAGCCTGTATCTCCACATTAATGGTGTTCAAAGTTTATGATGAGCTCACCGTTCCTGACCTGATGGGAAAAGGATGCTGCAGGGCCAAGAAAAGCCACTCTGATCGGCTCCATGAAACCCTGAGACTAGGTGGTCTCCTCCTTAGACTCTCTGGAACAGTTAAGGAGGGGTTTTCCAACTTTGTCAGTCAAGCCCCCGCACTGCGGGAACTGTTTTTGAGCTCCGGCATTTCTGACGTGGGAGTTAACTCCTAGCTGTGGACGAGTCCGTCAGAACAAACAAAACAAACAGAAGCTGCACGGTCGCTGCAAAGGGCTCCAGTCATCTATGCTTACTGTTGGACTGCTCACATGAATCTGGCATGACTAGATGAAAGCAAATACAACCGGCCTCCCATTCCCATTGGGACGGCTATACACAAGCACCAAAATGCAAACTTACTCCACATTCTCTGGAAGCTTGCGCCAGGGATTGATAGCACGACGACTTCCCTTTATATATGACTATCTTCATCCCCAACCGTCTCATCTCTTGAACCTGACTTTGATGGATATCATTCCACACCTGCAGCACACAGGTTACAAGCATACGACCCTCCCCTCAATTAAGCGACCGCCACCCCTGATGCCAGGGCATCATTTAGTCTACTTTCCTCCTCAAGTCACTCTATCTCAAATACTCCCTGACGGTACTGATACTTTGCATTTCCCGGGACAGCCATTTATCAGGCGTCTTTGGGCTGGTGGAAGGGTCAGATTCCCATTGATGTACAGTCCTTCCCTTGATGGCAGTCGGGCTGTCTGCATTGAAACAATTCGGGACGTAATAGTCAAAGGCCAACAAGGGGAGGAAAAGCTTTTGGTCGATATAGAGAGACGTATTGGTACGGTCAAGGAAGACGAGGCGGAGGAGAGTATCAGAGGACGTTTATGGAG